ACCCTGAGATCATGACCTGAGCCGAAGGCAGACGCTTAACCATCTGAGCCACCCAGGCGCCCAAGAAAACATTTTTTAATCTGATTGAGCTGTCTGAATGAGGTAGCTTTTTAATCCTCAGTAGATAACAAAAATCAGTTTATCCCCTTAGCCAACAGCCCACCAAAGTTTGGGGCTGGGGGTTCAGAGATCCAGAAGGCTCAGCAGCCTAGGGAACACAGAACCAGTTCTTGCTCTCTCTCTCAGCTTCGTCTCCCCGCTGTAGACAAACCCCCACTGCTCACAGAACGATGTCCAAACTCAAGGATCTTTGTCTGCTGGACCAGGACAAGCTGAGCCCCCCAGGGCAGGGTGTGGTTCTCACTCCTCTGCAGGTCTACCCAGCACTGAGCACAGATGGTGGCACATAAGCCAAATGGCACATAAGCTCAATGAATGAATGGCAACTGGGTGAAAATGTAACCCGTATAAAACACAGGTACCATATGTGCAAGTCTCAGCACAGTCTTGCGTCAAAATTAGAAAAAAAAAAAAATTTAACTGGAGAGCAATTTAAATCTTTGCCAAATTTCTCAAGGAACACCAAAAAAACAAAAAAAACCCCAAAAAACAGTTCTGTTTATAATGTAAAACAAAACTTATGAACTTATATCTCAGCCTCTATGGCAGCTGGCCCCCAAATCTCTCTCAAATTCCCCCAAATTTTCCTAACTTTTCTCCTTCCCTTCCCATGTCCCTTTCCAAATGCAGCTTCTACCCTTTCCTAGAAGTACAAGGTAGCTGGTTAAAAGCGCAAGCTCTGGGGCTCATCTTGCTGGGTTCAAATTTTTGTCACTTTCTAACTGGAGCAGGTACCTGGCATGTGGTAAGTGCTCAATAAAGGCAACTTCTTACTTAAATCCTATTGGCTTCTCCAATATATTTTTTAAATTTGTCCCCCTTCCCTATTAATGCAAGAAGAAATGTCTACTAGTGTTCCGAGGCTGCCAAAACAAATTGCCACAAACTCGGTGACTTAAAACAACAGGGATTTATTCTCTTGCATCTCTGGAGGCCAGAAGTCTGAAGTCAAGGTGTTGGTAGGGCTGTGCTCCCCCCAGAGCGCTAGGGGAGACTTTGTCCTTTGCCTCTTCCAGCTCCTGGTGGCAGTTAGTATCCCTGGATTTGTGGGTGCATCCTTCCAACCTGTCTCTGTCTTCACATGGCCTTCCCCTGTGTGTATCTCCTCTGTGTGTCTCATGGGAGCTTTTGTCTTGGATTTAGGGCCCACCCAGATATTCCAAGATGTTCTCATTTCAAGATCCTGAACTTAATTACATCTGCAAAGACACTTTTCCTAAATAGCGTCATATTCACAGGTTCCAAGGGATCAGGACGTGAACGTATCTTTTTTGGGCAGCCACCATTCAACCCACTATGAAGTGACCCTGGGTCCTTCCTCTTGTGGGTGGTGGGCGGGGAGAGGGTTGGATGCTCCTTTAATTTAATTTTCCTTGTCATGCTGAATAAATCAAGTCGGCAGCCAGCAGCGAGTACTTGGGAACCTGGAAGGAAAGAGAAGCAGGTGCCAGAAAGTCAATGCAGACTTCTCTTTCTCACTGATGCTCGTCAACTCTTTCAATGATGCAAGTTTGCAGCCACAGAATACCTAACTGCAAGAGCTCCTGCACCCTGGGGGTGGGAGGGATGGGGTGAATGAAGCAGTGAGTTTCAGCTACAAGCTGGGACCCTCACGCAGACACATCTTGGGACAGAGCATCTTGACCTTCCCATAGAGGGTGGTCAGCTGCATGCATCCCTGGCTGGGGGTGGTTCAGGTTAGTTATTTATTGATATCCTGTGTTAAGATTCCAGCTTTGGCTGCACTGAAGGGATCCGGGAGGCAGTGACTTCACTTGACTCAAATTGCAATCAGCCAGCCTCTTGGCTCATGTGTTTATCTACCCAGAACTATTTTTGGTGTGTGTTCATAGACAGCACACACCAAAGTATTTGGTATTTGAGATGCAAGCGTGAAGGATGATTAAAGTTAGCTGCTAATGAGCATGCCTAGAATAGATATACTGTGTGTGTGTGTGTGTGTGTGTGCGCGCGCGCACTTGTGCACGCCATGTGTGTGCTCTGTTGAGTGTCTGCAAAGCAGATGTCTACAAATCTGCCCTCAGGTGACCTCACCAATGTCCTGGATCAGCTAAGATGTCCATGGATGGCAAATGGAAATAAACACTGGCCTGTCTCAAAATACTGCCATACTAAACATCCCAACTCCCCTATCTATGTTCTACCTATCATCCAAAGCCTGGCCCATCCCACCTCATCAAGGAGACTTGCTTGACCATCCTCTGAACTCCTAGAGCAGAAGCAGCAAATAGGCTTCATCTTCAGTACCAACTTGAATCAAACTGGCAGGGATTACCTGGAGCACCATGGTGAGGATACTGAGAACTGATCTGAGCTGGGATACATGAGGCTGTGTTGTTTCCTGGGGCCACTGTAGCAAAGTCCCACCATCCGGGTGGCTTGAAGCAAGAGAAATTTATCCTCTCATAGTCTGGAGGCTAGATGCCTGAAATTAAGTTGTAGGCAGGACCATGCTCCCTCCAAAACCTCTAGGAGAGGACTCTCCTTGCCTCTTCTGAATTCTGGTGGCCCCCAGCATCTCCTGGCTTGTGGCTGCTCACTGCAGTTTCTGCCCCTGTCTCCCAGTGGCTCTCTTCCCTCTGTGTCTGGGTCTCTGCACAGCATTCTCCTCTGGGTGTGTATGTGTGTGTATGTGTGTCTGTGTCCAAATCTCCCTCTGCTTATAAGGACACCGATCGTGGGATTAGAGCCCACCGTAACGACTTCATCTTAACTTGATTACATCTACAAAGACTACATTCATGGTGCCTGGGGTTAGGACTTTAGCATATTTTGGGGGGGCAGGGATAGAATTCAATCCATAATGGATACCATGAGCAATTAGGAATGTTTTTCATGAGGGAAGGGAAATGGCCACCAATTTCCCAAATGTGCCCTAGAGCACTTAACTTCTGGTATCCTTTAGTTAGAAATAAGCACAGGCTGCTATGACTACTGTTAACTATCTACCCATCCATCCACCTATCTATCTATCTATATATCTACCTACCTATCCATCTATCTAATCTTTCTATCTACCTATCCTTTATCATCTATCTCTCCATGATCTATCATCTATATCTACCTATTTGCCTTCTTAAGTAGATCAAACTTTCCTTGAGAGCACAGATTATAGCTGTCTTAGACCATTCAGGCTGTTAAAACAAAACATCACAGACTGGGTAGCTTAAAAACCACAGAAATTAGTTTCTCACGGTCCTGGAGGAAACAAGTCCAAGATCAAGGTGTCAGCATGGTTGGATGAGGGCCCTCTCCTGGTTCACACACGGTACCTTCTCCCTGTGTCCTTATGTGGTGGAAGGAACAAGAGAGCTCTCTGGGGCCTCTTTTATAAGAGCACTAATCCCATTCATGGGGGCTCCAGCTTAGTGACCTAATCACCTCCCAAAGGCCCCGCCTCCTAAAACCATCACCGTGGGCATCAGGATTCCAACATATGAATTTGGGGGTGGGGGGGTAGGCGGACATAAACATTCAGACCAGACCACTAGCTTAAAGCCTTTATATTTTCCCACTGTCTAACCCAGGATCTAGATGGAGGAGGCACTTAATAAATACTTGTTCAGTAATTAACCTTCATTGTTTAGACTCTGAAATTAGGTTGGAGGAAAGGTATCTCCGAAGTGCAATCCCCTAAGGGCTGCTGAGGGTAAAGCTGGATGCCCACTGAAGAGTCAGGGGCCTGGGCTTGCTCGTCTACCCTCCGTCTTCCCAGCCACGCCCCATGTTCCAGACATCTCATCTACCAAATCCTACATGTGTACTGGGGTGTCCCCCTCTAATAGGACAGCCCTGTAATTGTTCAGCGAGATGATAGCGCCAGGCTCATCCATCAAACCCTCCTCTAATGGTTTGGTTTTCCTAATGGAATGCAGTGTCCTAAAGAAGAAGAGAAGCATCATAATGTGAGGTTTTATGTAGGCTGGTTTCTAGCTTTGAGCTATGGAGCTGAAATGATAGTTAAATCAATGGAGAAGCACTAAGCTATTGCCTCTGAATCTGGGCATCCGTAAAACCCGATTATTGACAGCCCTGAGTGGATGTGTTGCAGGCCGACTCCTCTAGCCCTGATTGGGGCTCCCTCTCTTTCTCTGTGGACAGGAGCAGTCCGAGAGAAATGGAAATATAATGGCCAGCTGATTGTTTTCACAGTCTGCACTACAGACCGCCCCCCTAACAAGACTCTAGGTCAAGTGCTCTTCTCCACTCTGTGGATCTAGTGGGGAGAAATTAGCTCTCAGTGGTATTCCCAATTACGGAGAAAAGCCCTGGTCTGGCTGTAATGTGTCTGGCAGTGGACCAAGAGGCAAGAAGCCTGTCTTCTCCCCCGGCCTTGTGGCGTGACCTTGGGAGGTGACTTTGCCTCTCAGCTTCTGTATCGCCTCATCTGTAGTGATCTACTTTTTTTTATTACTTCATAGTTATGCTCTAGGATAAATGAGACAAGGCTCTACATCTTTTAGTCCCCCAGAAAGACTGGAACCAGGTAAATGCAAAGGAGAGCCTTTTCTTTTGTTTTTACTACATGCATTACTAACTTGTGGGATTTTTTCTTAAAAACAGCAAAAATGGATGGATTTATACAATTGTTTTGTTTTGTTTTCCTAAGAAGCCTTGAGGCATTTCAGGGCTATTGTATTATTGCTCCCTTCTTTTATGGAGTGTGCCCATTTCTTAGTCAGCAAACTGAGCGAAGGCTTGAAGTGAGCCACATTGATGGGCTGGAACTAATTCCTCCTCCTAATCTAGTGTGGTGTTTTACCGCCACTGCACAGGTCCCCCGGGGACACTCAGGAGATATTGGCTCTGACACAATTATTAAGCCCCATCTCTGCATTCTCCCGCCCTCCCTCCATGCCAGCTCTGCTGACTTTCTTTTACATCTTTACAAGCACCAAGTACTTTCCAACCTCAGACTAGGCACACCTGTTCTCCCCTGTGTGGGAGGCTCTTCCTGCACATGTTTCCTGCGGCCAATCCCCACCCATCCCTCAGGCCTCGGCTAGTAATGTCACCTTGACAGTGAAGCCTTCCATGGCCCCCAGGCTTTGTCAAGTACCCCCATTCTATGTTCTCGCAGGCACTGTGTTTTTCCTTTACAGAGCTGATCACACGTGTAACTAAATGTTAGTCCAGTGTCTGCCTTCCCCACTAATGACAAGTTCCAAGAGGACAAAGTCCTATTTGTCTTGTTCATTACTGTGATTCCAGCACCAAGAAGGCACCCAATAAAAATCTGTAGATTACGTGGATGGATGGATGATGGATAATGATGGATGAATGGACTGAGAGATGGATGGATGAAGGAGAGAGGGCTAAATGGATGTAGGGTGTGTGGATATATAGATAACGGATGGATGGATATACATGGATGGATAGATGGATGGATGATGGATAGTTGGAAAGACAGAAGGATGAATGATGGATGAATGGATAGATAATGGATGGATGGATGTAGTATGTATGTATATGAGAGTGATCCAAATTATCAGTATTCATCATCAAGAGAAAGTTCTCAGTTCCAAATGTGCAGAGAAGTTCATAGATGCAGACCTAGCATACATGTCAACAGGCCCATGTCTCTCTGAGACTCTGGGTAGACCCTTCTTTGCCTCATCCTAGCTTGATGGTGGCCATCACCTTGGTTTCCTTGGCTCACAGCTGCACCACTCCAATCCCTGTCTCCACTGCCCCATGGTGTTCTCCCTGTGTGTCTCTGTCTTCACATCACTTTCCCTCTTGTTAGAAAGACACTAGTTATATTGGATGAAGGGTCCACCTACTCCAGGATGACCTCATCTTACCTAATTATACCTGCAACACTCTTGTTTCCAAACAAGGTCACATTCTGAAGTACTGTGAGTTGGGACTTCAATGTATCTTTTTGGGGGATTCAACTCAACCTGTAACAATCCATTAAACAGCCACAACTCACCCAGATGTGTATCCCAGAGACAGTCCTGCATAGGATGATAAGGAGATCATGCGTGAGGACGTGAGGACATCGGTGGCGATGAGGTTTGTCACAGCAAGAAGCCAGAGGCAACCTGCCTATCCATGACTGTGGAAATGGATAAGCCAAATGTGATACATGCAGTTGATGGACAAATACACAGGAGGCAGAAATCATACACTGGATTTGCATATATCACCATGGATAGATCTTAAAAACAGTGTGTGAAATGAAAAAAAGTAGAAACTAGACTAAAATTTATGACACAATACCACTGACATAAATCTGAAATATTTACCCAAAGAACAACATTATGTATGTTGCATAAGCACTGGAAAGTGGGTTGGAAGGATTTATTTTGAAGACACTGGAGTTGCTGCCTGTGGGAGGCAGTGGGAAGTGGTAATAGTGGATGAAGGCAAAAACGAATATGGGAAGGCACAGGGGGCCCTTGAACAGAAGCTGAACGTGTGGCATAAACTGGCAGCGTGATCCCACAAATGCCTGAGTCGGGTCCAATCTTTACAAAGAAGGGAGAAATCCTGGAAGGGATTTGTAAGTGACAACTGTGCTGAGGGCTCCGAGGGGTCCAGGGTCCTGCAAGCATGCACAGCAGGGACACTCAATCTACTCTGGAACATCAGCAAAGTCTTGGCAGAGAAAAAGACGCTTCCACTGAGTCCTGGACAGGACCTGGAGTTGTGCTGGGCAAGAGCAGGACAGAAAGTTCCAGAAGGAAGGAGAGTGTGTGTATGAGTCCCAAGGAAAGCCCAGCCGGCCTGGATGTGTCAGCCTGGGGCCAGCAGCACAGTCCCCATGCCATCACTCTGCCCTCCCCACCACCCCTAAGGAAGGAGAGGAGAGGGCGCCTGGGTGGCTCAGATGGTTAAGCGTCTGCCTTCACCTCAAGTCATGATCCCAGGGTCCTGGGATTGAGTCCCGCATCGGGCTCTCTGCTCCTTGGGAGCCTGCTTCTCCCTCTGCCTCTCTCTCTCTCTGTCTCTCATGAATAAATAAATAAAATCTTAAAAAAAAAA